AAATAAAATTTTTTACGAATGTGGTGTAAGGAAACCCGCCGAAAACTTAGACGACCGCATGTTCGCGCTGCGGATTTCAAAATTACACGCAAGCACGAGGCAGAATCTGACGAGTTCGGAGATTCTCGGGAACCGGCAAATCCTGTTGGCAGACAAGAGCTTCAGAGATCCGCCACCATCCATCTTCTGAGCTCTTCGTTAGGAGAGCCGTCAGTGGCGTCTGACTGTTTAAAGAACTTTCACGGGATGTACTGTGATTTCCCGTACCTGAAACTTTTGCTTACCCCGAGTGCCGACGAAAAGGAGAAGCGGTACATAGGCGAACAATTCTAGACGGAGTTGTTGCTGAGTTTCTGGGTGAAATACCTGAGGGGAAAAGAATTCGGGGCAGGGTAAAACGCGAAACAGCAACTCCTAAATGTAAATGTCTCGTTGGATTTAGATTCGCGATAAGTTGATTAAGCATAATTCGTTTGCTGAGTAAAATGTCAAACAAAATTGCCTCTTACATAAAGTACAACAGCTGCGACAATTGCGGTAATAAATATGTGATAATATTTTAATAATTTTTGCTGTATTTTATACTAAACAGTTATTATAAAATTTATTTCTATTATAATTGTTTATAATAATTTTTCAGATACATGTGCTCAAATTTAGCGTGTCTTTTGAAAGTTCACTTTGTTTTAAAATTATTAAGATATGGATTATAATAATAATAGCTGCGTTCGGTATGGATGCCTTTAGTATTTCTACCCTTTTTACGTCTAATGAACGATAAAAACAAAATAATAATTACAGGCACTTAAAGCGCATGAACGATTAAACTGAACGTAGCAATATATGCTCATAGTAAGTCATGGATACACTTGTTATATAATATAGATATAAAATAATGTATTGTATATTTATGTATATGTTAGATAGTAATTATGTTATATCTATATTTACTGGGTGCTTTCCAAGAAATATGGTGTAATTAAAATGTTGCTTTTTCAAATTATTTGTTATAACAATTTATATGCATCCTAAGAAATATAGTATGTACATTATTAAAATATTGTTTAATATCTTCCGTATGAGCGATATAACGCTACGAATAAAAGCTAAACTTTTTGCATTTAGAATTGAAGAAGAAAGGGTAGGAATGATACAATTTATCCTGTCCGAACGGGCTGTTTCTAGCTTAATTTGAGGAAGTATATATATATATATATATATATATATATATACACACTGGAAAAAGAGGCCAGGAAAAAGCGGAAGAAGCGCTATTTCCGCGGATCCAGATGTTACCATGCAAGCAACAATAACGAATCTAAAAGGAAGCAAGGTTTAGCGAATAAATCTTTTGTGCAAAATTGCGAATATTATTACACGCTATACGTATAATTAAACATTAAAATCTTTTAATTTTCAAAATTTAAATATATACGTACATTTAAAACTTTATTAGAAAACTTCTATTAATTATATATTTTAAGCAACATAAAAGCTCAGAGAAAAATATTCATTTTATCATTGGCCAAATTATAGGAAAACTATGTATATGTACTATGCCTCGTACGGAAAATAGCGAGAAAGATCGTACATATTATTGTACAGGTCATATCACATGTGTGATATTTTTATCTTTGCTCATGTTGGTTAAATAAAATAAAAAGAATTTAATAATTAATTTGTCATAAAAAACTTAATTTTTTTAATCATAAAAATTTATTTACAAGTGTTCAACTAATTCAATTGTTTGAAGCTAACACATCATAATATTTTTTTTTTCTGGAGTATACTCAAGTATATTATAATATACTACAGTATACTATATACTATATTCTCAAGTATTGTATTATGCTGTACTTGTCTTAACGCCGAGATATTATCGTGTCTCTAGATATATGGTTAAAAAAGATTTTTTTATGTTTTTATATCATAAACATTATGAAATTTTAACTGATATTACATATTTGTTCAACATTTAAATTTTTGAGATGTAAGTGAAATACAATCTGGTTTTTATTATGGTAAAAACTTGTTAAAAGTTTCTCAAATATGTAAGAATTTTTTTCAGATTTTTGGATTTCAGATAGTCTATTCTAGAATATTAAAACCATAAGTTGCAGGTTATAATCGAAAATTTCACATTGCCGGTGGAGGGTTAATATCACTTTTTAAATTAAGGCAAAGTTAAAAAAATACTTTAATTACGTAGCATTCGAGTATTCGTAGATTCTAGTTTTTACTCTTATTCTCTTTTACGAGCGCTTTATATGTCTCACAGGAAGGAAAATGCGGTAATAGGAACCGAGTCGGATGGAATTCGTTGCTGTTTTTGTTTCAGTTATGAAGAAGTATACTTAAAATGAAGCAAACAATAAGAGCAAAAAAAGGATGAGAAACAGTGGTCGCCGTTGCGCTACCGTTGCTTCGAATCCGTGGCGAAAGGAAATGAGAAGAAAGGTTTGAGGAAGCGGCCCGGAAGTCCTTGAAAGTGCATAAGCTTTGTCACGAAATGCGCTTAGTTAGAAGCGAGTTACTTCAGTGGAGCATAAAATACTAGCATAATAATCTTTATTTCTAGCGGCTGCGCGTAACGTCGCGCCGCGATTTTTTTCTTTTGCCCTGTCTCGATGATATTGCTATTTACGGCATTGCACCTTTCGACAATGTTCATGCACTATATAGTGACGAAACCGCGAGACAAGTTTGCTGGGGTGCCAGGGGTGATTTCGGAGATATTCGTGGTATCTATATACTCTTGAGACGAAGAGAATTTTTCGCTGACGAGACGCTTAGCTGCGGACTTCTAGAGACGGCGTGACTTCGCGACGTGCTAATATGGAAATATTCAATGCAGGAACGTGGCGCGATAAACGGACGGCTGCTTCCTCTCGGCTTTATGAACTTGTGTCTGCTGGAGGTGTATTAAGCGAGCATGTTGGAATTTTCAACGTGATGGTTGCTAACTTTGCTGTCAACGTCAGATCTTGGATTTTAGAGGATTAAATTTGAACTTGTACATGTACATATTTATATAACTAGGAAGAGTATTACAAACTTTCAGGTTATTTTAACTTTTGTTACATGTTATCAATTATTAAGCTAAATCGAATGGAAATATTTTTTGCTCGTATCGTATATATAATACATATAAGCGAAACAGAATATAATACGTTTTATAACAACAATTTTAACCGGAAAATGTATGAGTATTTTCTTTATTGCTTATTGTTACTAAATCTCGTGCAAACTACAATCACTTCATATTATTCATTTGCAAGTTTGGGAAGTGACTCGTTATTTGTAGCAAAGTTACTTTTTTTCAGTAACTGTAATTTCATTCCTCTTTTTATCTATGCGTAACTGTAATTTAACTTATTTACATTTTTTTGTGACTATTTTAATACTTACTAATTGAATATTTACTTAGTTTATATCAAATTTACTTGTCAATACATAGGCTGACAAAAATGAAATGTTCCGTGGACATTTTAATTTTGATTATTTCTTGGATTATTTCATGTGATTGAGAAATATCATACATCTTTATATCTGATCATTACGTTCTATGAATGTCTATATTAAGAATTAAGCTAAAAGATCCTTTTTGTACATGAAAAACGTCTTAATATTGATTCTATAATTTGGATTGCAAGTGCATGTATTAATTTATAATAAATAAAATATTTTAATATTGCTAGAAATGTATAAGATTCTTATATTTCAAACATGTAAAAAGTTACTTAAAAAATTAACAGAAAGGTAACTGAAAAGAAACGATTCGTTACTTTTTAAATAACTAACATGTTTTTTAGAATCAACAGCTTGCAACGGTAACTATATTTTTTTAAAAGAAAAAACTGTAACTCTCTCTAACTAGTTACTTTTACAAAATAACTTTCCCAATCCTATCTACTTGTAGTTTTGCTATTTATGAAATGGGAATATTAAACTTATAACGCAAATTTGAAATAGCACAAACTTGAAAGAGATAGGGAGAGAGAGAGAAAGAGAGAGAGAGAGAGAGAATGGAGAAAGAAGTTAATTAAATGTAAAACATTAATGAAATGTTTTAAGTAAAAAATTTATTTCATTTTACTTATGAAAATTATATAAATTATTTGATTTAAAAATACGTTATAATTTTGACATGGCGTATCTATAGTAATTATACAATTACATATGTATATATGCTGGAAAAAATCTAGATATGTAAATGGAAAATTTGATGAAATTAGTTGGTATCTATGTTTGTAAGAAAAATGATCGAATCAAAATTCTTTTAGAAATTTCCGTGTAGGATTTTACAATCGGCCTAGTGCTGAGTCATTACCGGTTACCACAGTATAGACATTGATGCAATATTGGCAAACTGCTAGCACAGTACTAGATGATAACTTGAATTAATTGTAAGTACTGGGATATGATACTGATCCAGTCATTTTAACCAGCGATGACCCAGTATTAGCTGATAAAACGTTGGATCATTTATTAGCCAGTTATTGAGGCAATGATTACCCCTAGTACTGGTTGACAAAACTTTGGCCGTCACTTGACAGCTAGTCATTTGCCAGTGATGACTCAGTATTGGTTGACAAAACCTTGGCCGTCAGTAGCTTGATAATCGTAGCGTTGGCTAAGTGGTGGATTCGTTATGACTGCTGGTAACTCTATATAGGTTACCAAATAACTAATTTCGTTTTGTTAAAGAACGATATTAAATTTATTTAATTATTATAGATCTCAATATAATTTCTTAATGAAAACATTTCTAGTAAATATATAATTTAAAGAGATATAAATCCAATCGAAAATATTAATCAAATTTTTATCTAATTAAATCTATCAAACGTTCTAATTAAAAAATATCGAGTTTAATTATAATATTAGAGATTCTGTCTGGCTTCATTAAATGCATTCTACATCACATACATTTTATTGGCATAATCAAAACATTTTTTTTTCAATATTTTTAAATATTTGTTTCTCTCTTGTGTTTTCAGGTGGCGTGGATCCACGTTGGACGCCAAATGCTGCTTACTATTCACAAGCATGTGGTCGTGAAAGTACCCAGGTTTTCCGTGTCGCATGACAATCAGAAAACATGGCTGCTTCACATTAATAGTGTGCAACAGGATGACCGGGGTTATTATATGTGCCAAGTAAATACCAATCCAATGATAAGTCAAGTGGGCTTTCTTCAAGTCGTTGGTAAATAATCATTTTCACTCAATTGAATTCAACTTACTGAAAATAATTTATGTATGAAACGTAGAAAAACGTAAGCAATAAGCAAATCGACAGTCACTCGAGAATATATAGCAATAACATAATCAGTACGAAATAAAAAATGTTAATTTGCGTATTGCATACATTTTTCTATGTATGTACATTTTCTATGTGCCACTAGTCTAAAAGTCTATATCAATATAATCAAATATTTTTTTTTAATTGTTTAAATTCCTAATGATTTTATTTTATCTCATTGATGCGATATTTTTAAAAAGTAACTCATGATATATTATTGTATTATATAAATTATAAAATAATAAATGTAAAATTTGCATTTTAAAAGAAATGTTTGACGGAAATTAAAAATAATGTAAAACAAGCATTAGCCATACAACATTGTAGGCTAAACTCCGAGTAAAAAAGCTATTTTGTGTGTCTTTCAGTGCCACCAAATATATTGGATTCCCTTTCTACGGAGAGCACCGTAGCAGTTCGAGAACATCAGAATATTACTCTCACATGCAAGGCCGATGGATATCCACCACCAAAATTAATGTGGAAACGAGAAGATGGTCAAGTAATAAGCCTCAACAAACATCACAAAGGTACGTCGTTGCACATACTAAATTATTTTATGTGCCGTTATAACGCAAAAAATTATTCTCAATTTATTTTGTAGAATGTCAAAAATTTATCGACTATCCAGTTTTCTTAACATTTTGTATATTTTACATTTTAACTCAAAGAAGCAATATTTCTTGTGAATTGTCTCAAGATAAAAGAGTTTATATATCGTAAACGTACGATTTTTTACACAAACAATTTCAGTTTATATTTTAGCATCTTTTTATATCTCGTGTATTATTTATTTACTGGGTAGCTTTTTCATATTTTACTCTATGAAATAAATAATTTTTAAAAATTATTTTATAATATACTAATCCCACTGTTATTTTTTAATATAAATATCTATGGAAATGTTAAATATTCTTTCGGTTATATCGTACTATTTACAATAGATATATACCATATATTTAACATTTAATCGTTTAATAACATATTTAATGTTTTGTACCGAATCACACATTTTGTTTAGATTTTATTAGAGTGTATGAAAAATTTTCTTTCTTCGTTTATAAACTAACTTATTGTTTGAGAAACGATGAAGTGATATTTCTCTTAAGTTCACTCGAGATAAAAATTACAAGTTACAGTTACAGACTAGACAAAATTACAAGTTTACACAGATCACAATTTTACATAAACGGTCTTCAGTCTTTACTTTAACAACTTTATTTCGTACATTATTTATCTATTATAGATAGCTTTCCTATATTTTATATACTAAAATAAATAAGTTATGTAATTTTTTGAAATCATCATTGCTATTTTTAAATATAAATATCTGTTTATATCAGAGAAATGTTAAATATTATATTTCTATTATTCTTTGATTATTATTTCCAACTTGTACGTATTTTTATCGCATATTTTGTAATACATATGTGTATTTATATATATACATATATATAGTATATTGCACACTTGATCATTTAACGTAACATTTCGTACCAAAACACAAATTTCGAGCATTAGTTTTTGAGAATTTTCTTTTCACTTATAAATATATGAACTTAAACGATGAAGCAAATATTCCTCGTAAATTCGCTTGAAATGGTATAAAATAGTTATGAGGATGCAGATGTACATCTTATATAAAACATTTTAATCTCTCAGCAATTTTTATCTGTTATATATTATTTATCTACACGCTTTACATAAAATATTTTAGTCTAGCTTAGGAATTTTTATCCGTTATATATTATTTATTTACTAATAGCAAAATAGATTTTCCATATTTGATTCATAAAAATAAGATTAAATAATTTTTTTTAATTATAATAATATTCCGCTGCTCTTACTTTTCAATATAATAAATATAGAAATACTTTATGATATTTATTATTCCTTAACTATTTTTTCTTACATACGTATTTCTGTCGCATATTTTGCAATAGATATAGTCTGTATGATACTCGATCTTTTAATAACGTTACATTTTGTATCGAGTTACATATTTTGTTTCGAGCGTTTGGAAAATTTTCTTGGTTCGTTCATGTATGTACGAACTTAGAAACGATTCCACGAGTTTCCTCTTACGATGTCTCGAGATCCCTTGTCTACGCGAGTCGAAACTTTGAAGCACTTTTACAAGGGGAAACGGGCGTATTTGTAATGCAGCTGAAGTTCAATGCGGAAAGTAATTTTTGGTACGAGGATGTTCTTTTTCCGTACGTTTTTCTTCGAGTCCCACGAGCCCTGGCATCGACGTCTCGCTCAGGTAACAAATCGACGGACGTTTGCTGAATCGAAGAAATTGGAAGTAAATTTTCATCAATTACGAACGTAGAGATATCTGCTTGTACAGGCAGCGCAACGCGAGGTGCGTTAGAAAATGTACATATAAAAGTAAAAAAGTTGCGTGTCTTATTGGTTAAGCAATTTCGTGTTTCTTCGATAATTCGATTTACGAAAGGAGTTTATCGGTCCGATCACATTCCTGTAACGACATACATATACTCGTGCAGGTAGGTTTGACAGGGAAAATATTCGAATAAATATTTAATTGTTCGACAAAAACGACTGTATTATTTAATCGTGTGCATTGCAAATTTCTACAAAACAAATAAAATGCATCATGCTCAATATAAAACATTAATCCCGTATTTATTTATTAATTCTCGAATAAATCAGTCATTTGCAAACTAATGAATAAATGCGTAGTAAAATCTTTTAATACGGACAATTTGAAAGTGATAACATCATAACTCTCCATCATCGTGAATTTCTTCGTGTTCACTCCGATTTCGTTCCAGATAGATTTAAATTTAGAACACATACGGTAATATTTTTCACGTGACAGCCGCACGTAAATCAGTTTAAGTTTTTATTAGGTTTCCAATAATTATTCTCTTGCATGTTTGCATTCTTCTTATCATTTAGTTTTTTTGATTCTGCTTTCGTGATTGATGTCGCAAATAAGATCTTTATATAGAAGCTGGCAAAAAAGATATTATCTGTTTCATCGAGTTAACAGTAAGTTTCTCTACAAATTTCTATTGCGAATATTCCTCTAACTTTTATATTCACTACTTCATCGTATCGTGTTATTTTATGAATTCTCGGCTTATCTCGGACATTACACTAATCCCGGATTCAGGCGGATTAGTGATCTCTATTTAACATAAACATTACGTTATATTCAGCCGACGAAACATTCGAGAGCTTTACATGAGTGTTCAACGGGAAGGTTTTTAGAACTCATACTAATTGTAAGTAATCCGTTTTAATTAAAAGATACACTATTAAATTTGTAACGTCAACTTATATATCCATAATTTTAAAGTTATTTTTAATCATTTCACAAGTCGCGCCACTGTTCTTACCCAATATGTTGTTAATTTAATGAAAACAATGAAGTCAAATAATTTCATTTTTAAGAAAATTATTAAATTATTAAATTATCATTTCATTCATTTACTAACAATAAGTGCGTACGTTAATATTGTTTACTTCTGAAATTAACCACAGAAATGAATTGATTTACATTTTGATACCAAATGGAAGTTAAAAACGATAAAATGTGTGTGTTATCTTTTTAACTGAACAAATTAGGTTACCGTTTTTTAATATTTAACAATATACTTTCTATTGCGTGCATTTCGCTTCGGAATATCATGGTGTAATTTCTCTTCTTTCATTCTCTGTAATAAATCATAGGAGAGAGATAACTCATTAACGGAGTCAAAGAAGAAAGTTACGGGATATATAGTATACCGTATTCAACATTAAGAGCAATAAATCGCGGCAGTGATAGCCCGTAAAACGCGGAGGCGCTCGTTTATCTAATATCTACATTATGTCTCCATGCGTGTTACGCCGTTATCGTCTTTGCACATTGAGCGTTGAGCTTCAGGACAGTACGGGGCGAGCTACATACGCGCCATCGGAGAATGCCCAGAGGACACGACGCTCATGGTAAAGCAATAAAGTGCGATAAACTGTGCAAGTCCCCGCCCACCTCACCGTCGTGCTATTAGCAATGCAATTATCGCCCGCTCTCTGGCAGCCAGTGGGCACATCCGCCGACGTCCTTTAGGTCTCTCTGTATCGTTTCTTTATGCCCGGAATAGAATTACGCTATGGAATAGAGTTTCGCCATTTAATAATTCTGTACGCGGTATCGTTCGCTATTTAATAATTCCGTACCCACAGCGATGTTACACGCTTCTCGTCAGAGTCCTCCCCGTCTGCAGTTTTTTTTCCGAACTCGGATTGATTGAATTAAATGTCGCCATTTTTTATTCGATATTCGGTCACGCTGTTTTGATGAGTGAGTGGTATACGAAAGTGACACAGACATCCGAAATTGACCGATGATGCGTTTTTTGAAATGAGTCTTTCCTGTTGGCGCGATATAAAAAAATTCTTTTTTTTTTAATTTTATAAATTTACACAAAAATATTATTAAATTTTAAGACCAAATCGATCATCGCATTCTTCATTTATTTGTATCGAAACCTTTTTGGCCTATTTTAAAATAAATATTCTTCTTACATATAACGTTGATTATTTTGATTGTTATTATCATTCATTACACGGCTCGGTGGGAAAAATTTAATCAATTTTTCAATTAATAACTAAAAGTTTTAGTTGCCTTGTGAAATAAATCTTAAGTATTTTTAAGCAGTAAGATTTTTTGATCGATTAAAATCAATTAATATAATTGATTCAATCGATTGAATGAAAATCATTGACTACTATTAATTAAGAAATTAATCGTTACTTATTAGTCATCAGTTGTTTTCAGCTATAACATAGAGTAAACGTTAGACTTTGTTTCAACAAATAATTAGCTCGCAATTTGCTTGAACTGGAAGATGTAAAAATTCGAACCGAACATAGCCCTCTCCACTCTGTGTTTATTTTTTTTATACTCGGCAATATGTTCAATCGATTTATCGATCAAGTGCATTACATTTTCTTTCGTAAAAAAAATGGCAGGCCAACAGGAAGTCTTTAGTAACCATAAACTGCGAGTTATTGTGGCCGAGTAAATTCTGCAGGTTTGCTCCTTCTGCAGCAGGATTAGTAATATAATTATCTACTTTCGCGGTTCCTTTCGTCGACACATGCGCACCGCTTTGTGCGTCTGTACATATACTATACTATGTACTCGCGCAAGTGGTAACAACAATTCTATTAATGTAACTTGTAATTGTAAGTATCCTTCGAGAGTGGCGCGTCGTTATTGAATCCGCATATTCGGGCTCATAATTGGTAAAGCTCGCGAGTTATGCGCGCGCCATGCCAAAATCCCTGGTGGGCACGTGGCCGCAAGTTAACGTCACGGGATACGATAAACTAGGTAACGCAATTGCCGGGTCCGCACAATTCGATCTACCAATCTGCGACGCGATCTGCCGAGCTGCATTCGCATAAACATTTGGTTGAATGAAGAGCGACGTTCATCGCGGTATTGGGCGACAATTATTCCTGTGTATTGGACTTGTATTGAAATCATATACGCGTAGGTACACGCGGA